CGGTATGATCGACATGCTAATATACAGGGTGTGGCGTGTATAATCTATAAAAATTAAACTACAGCTTCCTGATGACATTTGTAATAGACAACTCTTATACGAAAATGTTCTATCTTCGCGTTTTTTTTTTTGTAAATTAAAGTTCAGTTATTCAACGAAAATGAAGTCCGACTCTGTGTTATTTATTAAAAACTTTGGAAACGTTTTTATGCGCCCTGAGATGCAACCTTATATGTCGGTATAATCTAATACTAGTAATACTGAAAGAAGATTAGGTTACATTATCAAAAAATTTGTGATTTTCTATTTGTATTGAATTCATTATTCACTTAATTATTAAATATTAAGCATCGTCCATCGACCCATGAGTGTTAAAAAGTTATTATTTTATAATTCCATGATAGTGACAGTATATTATTTATAAAGAAGTAAATAGTAAGACTAGCGTGCCGATTACGTTAAAAACGAGATTCTTATTTCTTACTTTGCTTAATTTTTTAGTTTGTGCATAAACTAGTTTTACAATGAGAAAAAGAGAAAACAATGCATTTACTATTTCCGAACGTGTCGATATGGTTCTAAGTTGTGCCCCCCCAATGTGCAAATACAATTCTACAGTGAGTTCAGCGGCTGCGAGATACGGGAAGTGTATTCCTCGAGGAGAAGGACGTGGTCAACAAGTGAACGGGCGCCAGCTGTTGCACCATAACATCTGCAACCAGTACAACAGATTTTACCCCCAGATTATGATCAACGAATGCGTTTTTGCAAATGGTTTTTAATGCAATATGCCAATCAAGTAGACTTCCCTGCTCATATTTGTGTAACAGATGAGCCGACATTTACCCTTGATGAATTGTATTTCCATAATATGCACATATGGACCCGTGAAAATCCTCACGCGATTAGGGAAACTCATTTTCAACATCGGTTCTCGGTAAATGTTTGGGCTGGCATAATAGGCGACGTACTTGTGGATCCCTATTTCTTTAAAGGACGACTAAATGGACCAACATATGCTGACTTTTTGGAGAACCAGCTGCGTGAATTATTGGACGATGTGGACATTATAAGTTCGGGCACGCATATTTTATCTTCAAGATGGGGCTCCTCCACACAGTACTAGAGAAGGAACGGCACTTTTGAATGGAATGTTTCCTCAGTGATGGATTGGATGCTTTGGTCCTGTGCCGTGGCCACCTCGGTCACCCGATCTAACTTCAATGGACTTTATCTTTGGAGTCACTTGAAGTCATTGGTTTACAATAGTCCAATTGCTACGGGGAAGAATTGCGAAACCGTATACTTGAAGCTGCTGATACAATTAGGGGAACGTCTGGAATTTGGGAAAATATTCGTCAAACTTGGGTGCGGCGGTGCCATGCCTGTATTCGCGCTAATGGTGATCAACTTCGACATTTTCTCTAGAAATGGTAAGTTTCGTTTCATTTTGTCCCATATTTTAATGGAGTTTGTTTAGTGCACGCAGTTGGCAACTACAGATGCTTACGGATGTGGTTTTGTTTGAGAACTCTTGCAGTAACAACAATGCATTTAAGATAGTAATTACATGCTATTAATTATTATAATAAGAAAATATCAGTTTTTTAAAAATATCTATTTTTCTTGGTTTGTACTTTTGCATTGAAGAATTTCCCAAAAATTGAGAAGTATTTTTCTATCTTTCAACGACGATTTGTTTATGCGGCTGGTATACAGCACGTAACTCATCTTACAGCACACGGACAGGACCGTTCCAGAGAAAATATTTTGGTCCATAACTTTAATTTACGAAAAAAAAAGCAAAAATAGAACTTTTTCGTATATGACATTTCTATTATAAATATCGTTAGGAAGCTGTAGTTTAATTTTTATAAGGATATTTAAGGATAGCAATTTTCTTCTGTGTAAGAATTGCAAAAATATCTTTAAGAACACTGAAATTTAAGAAAAAAGAAATTGTTCAAATAAACATAGTTTGACATCTTTTAAACAAAATTAAATGAAAAAGCCTAATAGATGCTGTAAGTAATAATTTACTATTTATGTTACATACAGAGAAACATCATATTAAATATTTAAATACATCTTGCCTGAAGTATTATTTATTTGCGACTAACTGAGATATCTTTAACAACACTGAGATTTAAGAATAAAAAAATTGTTCAAATAAACAGAGTTTGACATCTTTTAAACAAAATTAAATGAAGAAGCCTAATAGATGGTAAGTAATAATTTACTATTTATGTTACATACAGAGAAACATCATATTAAATATTTAAATACATCTTGCCTGAAGTATTATCTATTTGCCACTAACTGAGAGATATCGCTACTAAAAGAATGATTATTCGGTTTAGAAATCATGAGTCAGGATGTGATAGAAAGATGGGTATTAGGGAATAGCAAAATTTGAAAAAATTTTTAGCGCATAAGAATAAAATAGTCTCTTGTTTTGTTAAATCATCTTAAGCATTGCATAACCTGGAATATTTGACATAAAGTGGAAAAAAAAATTATTTTATACTTTAAGAATATAATTCTTCCTTTCAGAAAATTTATAAATTAAAACAATGAAACTTGTATTATTTACAATACACAAATGGAACTGATTTCTAAAACAAGTTTTGAAGGAAAAAGAGTATTTGGTAATACACCACTATCCTGTAGACATACTTTTTTTATTAACTGATTTTCAAATTTTCTTAAATATGTGGAATTTCGTTTGCAAATGAACCTAATCACACCTAGTCATCACGTGACCATTCACTGAACTTTAATAAATGCATATGCAATAACATACTACCAAATTTATTCAAGATGTGTAGCACTAATCGCAGTTGAATTATTCAATAGGAAAATAAGATCTCTATAAATTTATACGCTTTATACAATAATTTACCTTTGTTTTTATGTATAGAGTAAATATCAAGCATCTTTAGAAATATCAACGACCGGTAGTAGGGGAGAGTAGTGCATTTTTTAATAAATAAAATGATACACAGATTTCAATGAAAAAGAATAAAACTTGTTTTACTTCGAAAACAGTTTTCAAGTGTCTAGTTAGTCACTACTAGCGCTATACCAAATCCTCATGAAATTTTTCTCCCTCTACTCAAAATCGCTTTTGATAATTCAGGATGACATTTAGGAACAGCAATCAAATAATAATATTTTGCTCTTAGGAGCTCAGTTTTAATAAAACGATGTCAATTTTTTTTAACTAAAAGAAATTTATTTTGTTAAAAAAATTATCATCATTTCACTATGTGATTCCTTCGATCGTTTCAGGCCCAAAAACCGTAATAAACCAGGACTTTAAAGTTACTGGTTTACAAGATAGAGGGCGTTAAAGTTTTTGACAAATATGACAATTTTTCAATTACCTCTGAAATTATTTGACGTAGATTGATGAAACTTGGGGAAATTATGTAACTAATTAAAGGTTATTCGGTATATTTTTATATAAATCTGTCAGCCAGTGGCGGAGATTCAAGGGACCTTTGTCATTAAAATTCTCAGAAAAACTATGCCACTGGATTTTCAGAAAAATTAATAGGTTTAATTTACGCACATATTTTTAATAAAAAAGTTATCTTTTTTCACACAATAAACCATTTTCAAGTTATATATTTTTTATTCATATTTAATTTCAAAAGAATTTCTAATATACAGGGTGTCCAGAAAGGTCATGTCAAAAATGAAACCTGTATAAATTCTGTAAAGAAACATTGAGCAGTTCATACAAATGATTTCAATTCTAAGTACATCTGGTATTACTTTTAAACATCAAGAAGTTTTGTTTCTAAGAGCTTCCGAATAATCATTGACTTCTGAGATGTTTGCATCTGGACGTTTTCTTCTCATTAATCAGCATTAACTTTTTCAAAATCAATTCGGTGTTACGTGCCTTATTTACATTAAATTGCGGTAATTAAAATGTCAATTAAACTTAAGTTATAAAAATCCCATATTGTAAAAAATGTAGTCAAAATAACTGTGCCATTATACTTAAAAAAAAACAGATACACAATTCTTGTCTGAATTTTTTTTATTTTTATTTTTTTAAAGACAATATCAAGTTAAATTTGCAGAGCGTGCAGGTCACTATATCGTTTTATTTATCGACCTGTGAAATATTTTTTTGTAACTTCGAAAAATGAAATTACAGGAGTTTATAAAAAAATATAAACAATGAATTGTTGCTGTTCAAATAAGAGACTCAATAAAATTTTTACCATTTTAATCAGAGGAAAAATTTCAAATAATCCAAAATTTGAAAATTACCCTGATATTTAAATCAGAGGCCAGTGTCTCAGAATGCTTAATGTTTTTTTTTTATATTGATAATAAACAAACTCAAATAAAAATTATATGAAAACGAAAATAATAATAAAAACAGATAAAAACAAAACAAAATACCATAAAAAAGTATAATAAAGGCAGACAATATAAAAAAAAACATAATAAATAGCGTATCTCGGTCCCGTTTGATAAATATACAAACAAATTAGAATCCTTTTCGAAGTTTCTGTTAGCATACAATTTATTTGGGTGCTGTTTTGCAAAAGTTAGATATGTCTTAATTTTCGAAATACCAAGAAGAGAATTTTAAAGGAACACCCTGTATATTTGAACAAGAGAATAATACTTGCGTGTTTTCTTAAAAATACCGGCCTCGTGTGTCTAGGAATTTACGAAATCTGCCCATCCGCATCTCCCCTACTTTTAACCTTGGCGGCCAAATAAACCAAATGAATTTGGAAATAATGCCGGTAATTTTCGAAATAACCTCTATTCTGTTTGATGAAAATCTCGTTGGTCGAGTTATCCAACCTGGGGTTTCCGTAAGGACAATTTACGCCATCATTATTACCGTATGGTCCATTTAGTGGACTTGAAACACAATTTGTCTTCGACAACAACTTTCGTAGCCTTCAACGCCGAAATTTGACATAAAAGATCTGGAATTACCTACATATATATAAAGTTGAAGCACTATTGGGAGGATCAGTTGTCGAAATGAAGTCAGCCGTGCTTTTTGCTTTGATCTGTGCGATTGTTGTGGCCTGTATTTCGGCCTCGGCGATACCACCTAGTGCAGTAGACACTCTAGCTGGTTCAGGACTTCGGGCGAAACGCACATTTGGATATGGAGGATATGGAGGTTATGGGGGAGGTTACGGAGGAGGATATGGAGGCGGATTTGGAGGAGGATACGGAGGGTATGTGCTTTAAAATGCGAACAATGAAATGTTGTGCGAATTCGAAAAGAAATTGTTGTCGATGGGTCAAAATTCGAAATGGCCATGTCAAACATACGAGTATATTATAGATTTGGAAAAATATTTCATTCAAGTAATAAACAAAGAAATTGATTGATTTTTATCAGGAATTTTTAAATATAATATAATGATGTTACCGTACCTACTGCAGCATTATTTTCAAATAATTTAATTGGTAGGAATTCATTTCTTCATCTTACATACTTTGCAGTTCAAAATATGTAAAAGTTGTAAGTCAAACTTCATCATTAAATATTTTTTCTGTCATGAATTTATGCGAATTTCACAAATCTGATACAGTAATAATATAAAAAAATCAGAAATGTTTAATAGATAAAAAGAAACTTTATACTTTTTATGTGTTTACATATAAGGGTTACAAAAAATCTGAAAGAATTGACCGAATTCGGATTTTTCCAAATATCTAGTCAGCTGTGACGTTTATTTAAAAAATAAAAGTAACGTTTAATAAGAATCATAAAACTGTACATCTTCCTCATTTGAGCTTTTTTGTATCTTGGCTACTTTCCCATATCCCTTCACTAAACAGCGAAAGAAACTCACCCTGTATTTCGATAAGAAACTTCTCGGTAAACTTTTATAAGAACTTTTTCTTTGTAAATTGGTGATATAGAATAATACATAATTACTATACCCCTTTATAAATAAATTATTTATTTGCAAAATATAATTAAAATATTAATTTTATTTTATTGGCTGTAATCATTTTTTTTGCATGTTTTACTTTTTCAGTTAATTGTATATTTCTGCAACAATGTAAAGAAGAAAGTAAATTTAATTAAATAAATAGCTCATTGCTCAAATGGTTGATTTTATAAATTTAGTTTTGCCTAATGACAAATATATCATACTAAAAAAGCAGACAGCTGTTCACTATTAATATTACTACATGTGACAAGTTGAAGCTAAAATACAAACCAAAAAAAAAACAAAACAAATAAAAATTATAAAAATAAATAACCAATTCATTTAAACAACGTGAAACTACTGTTGTATCAAGCTGAGTAAGTATAAATAATGGAATTAGATATATGAATATCGTATGAGACTATTTTAATTTTATTTTTACTGAATTATTTCCTTTTCTCGACATTTTAGTGTTATTTCACTGAATAGTTAGCAGTTTTGTTACGCGTGTTTGCAAAATTTTTTTTCTTATAATACAGATTTAAGTCTCGATTAAAAAAACCAGATCATTGAAAAAATCATTTAAATTAAAATAGAATTATTTGATATATGTAAAAAACAACGCATATTTCCTATTAAAATATTATTATAGTGAAATACTAAATAAGTGTAAACTCTCTCCGACTGATTAGGCAAAACTAAACTTATAAAATCAACCGGTTGACTAATCTTTCTGGTGCAAGGGGTCATTAATTTATTTATTTATTTATTTTCAGTGTGCTTTTCTAATCATTTCTACAAATCGTAAGGATTCTGAACAAAACAAATAATTTAATGAGTACTATACTATTAAAATTAATATAATTTTGAAATGTAGTCATAACTAAGCAGTATTTTTATAGAAATAGACTGAGATAGGTCTTTGGAATATGAATTTTTGTTATTTTTGAGTACGACAGCAGATAACTATTTTCATAAGGGAAGTCCCTTCGGTTTAAAAAATTGTTTGAAAATTTTATTAATCTATAATTTGAGGTAAAAAAAGTACGAACCTAGTCTAAGATTTCTATTATAGCTATTTTATTTATTTAGATAGACAATTATTTAACAAATACAAATGACAGATAAGTGAGAAAATGCAAATTCAAATTGTAAAAGAAAATGTAAAATGTAATTTTATCTGTTACTTTAAAAATTTAACCTGTAATATGATGTTTTTGGCACCTATTACCAAATGTACGTACATCTATATTTGGTTTAAGGACAGATTTCTTGTTTTTGTTTCTTTTTGTAATAATGACAATAACCGATGATCTTGTTAACCTTGGCTATAAAATAAACCGAACTATTTTTAAAATATTAGGTAGGCACTAGATAATTTTTAAAGCAACTTGCTTTAGTTTATTTTTTGAAAATATTTATTTATATAATTTCTTAAACAGTTCAATTTTTTTATATTTCACCATACCGTTAGGTACTCTGAGTCAAATTTTAATTGATACATGATAAAAGTAAGAAAAATAAACTATGTATTATTGCTCTGACTTACTTACATTTAACTAAACATAAATATTTGTTTCAGAGGTTACTACCCTGTGTATAGGAAGTCATACTACAGTGGATACGGAGGTGGATTAGGCGGCGGCTACGGAGGTGGTTACGGCGGCGGCTACGGAGGCGGATTTGGAGGCGGCTACGGAGGTGGCTACGGAGGTGGCTACGGAGGTGGCTACGGAGGCGGATATGGTGGCGGATTCGGAGGTGGTTATGGTCACGGCTTTTAGTCAAGGTTAGTACTATCAATCATCTGTTACATCAGTGGTCTCAGAAGAACTTTGATACAATTCCCATACTTTTTTTTTGAGAAGATGTACTATCATAATTTCTTTATACATACAGGGCGTCACAAATATTAATAATATTATAACAAGGAGTAATTTAAAATACATCTTTCACAGTTTAACAAAATTCTCGGTTTCTTTTAATCTTTCTTTAACGGGATTATTTGTCCTTTCCAAAATTTTGGCCGTACTCCATTGAGTTTCCCCAAGCGCGATCGCAAAGTTTTAATTTCTCAAATTCGCGTTTTATAATGTAATCCTTGCACAACATATTATATGTTTACAGGGTATGCTATAAATGGAATTTTTGAATTTTGAGAATCATTATCTGCGGAAAATATTGTCCATAGTATTTTCGGAAAGATGATAAGTTTCAATAAATTTAAAATTATACAGGGTGATTGGCAGTAACATGTTAGAAGTCACAATAAGAGTATTCCTAGTCCCTGTTTAAGAATTTTTTTCTTAAATAAATATTCACTTTTACGACTTATTTATTAAATATAGTTTGCCGGAGTTTAAATATACAGTACCACAAGATTCATCGGAATTCTTTAAATAAGTATAATACGTGAGAAGATGTATTTAAAAGGATATTGAGGCACAGGGACGTCGTTTTGAAAAATTTTATAATATCATTTAAATAAATTCTACATTTAAGGGCTTTTAAACATTATCACCTGTTGTTTGTTGTTAATTTACTGAAGAAAGTGGAGAGATAATTTTCATTCAAAATAAAATTTATTTTTTCCAATGGCATCATATTTATGAACCGGCTTGAGTTGACAGTTAATTTTTTTACCTTGAATGCCATTTTGTCTATGTATTACGCACATAAAATTTAATTTCAATATCTTTATTTGTTCAGGAAATATTTAGATTTTAGATTTTTTTAAAATAATATCCTGTTTCGATGATAATTTTATATAGCAAAATGTCATTATTTTTACTTACTCTATGAATTTCTGAACTTTCGTTGTTAAAATTCGAGCCGCCCTGTATATAAGTAAAAAAATGTACCGTATATATTTCAGCGATCAGGTGGATAAGAAAAATAAATTTTTAGCAACTTATTTACACTTTTTATGAAGTGCCATAATTCATATTTTTCCACTAGTTTTTTTTTTGTCAGTAAATATTTAGATGTTATAAAATTTGTGGATTACCTTCAAAATGAAAAATCATATCTATTAATAAATTTTTTCATAACTGGTGGATATTTAACTAATTTAATAAAAACATGCTTTATTTATTGTTAGAAAATTTCCTAGTTTTAAAACATATACACATTCATAAGCTTTATGTGCTTATTATTTAATTTCCTGATAGCAAATGGTATATCTGAAAACATTTTTAACCGATTATAGACTTGATACACCAGTAAAAATATTTAAAGTAAGTTAAACCAATACAAAAAGAGTATAACACATATATTTAACTATAAATATTTCGAAAAAAAATGGTGGCTGAATCTCCTTTTGATCTTTGTTCAAAGTTCAATGTTATATTTATTACAAATAAGAGTAGGACCCAAATTATTAAATTTAATTGTTCCAGTATGTTAGATAGGTACGTATTTCTTTATTTTTATGTTATTCGAAAAGAATATTAAATTATTAAATTATTTAATAATGTACATGGCAGTGTCACTTACTGAAATGAATGTAGATTAAAAAACTAGAGATTTAACACTGTTTCCTCTACAACTCTGTTGCCTCACTTCTCCTGTAATTGTTAATTAGAAATGTTGTTTGAAATAGTTTGAAAGTTGACTAGAATCCTATCAGATTTTTATGTGCTGCAGCATGCTTTAATAGGTGATACGTTTGTTTTATTTGAGTACCCCTGAAGTTGGAATCGACTGAATTACGTATTCACTCGTTCGATAACAGTATATGAATTCATACAATATCATAAATTGAATAGCACTAAATGGTCGGACCAGTTGATTAAATTGCCGTCTCTAAATTTGTTTAATGAAAGACGTGAGGATCCAAGCCAGCGTTTATAATTTAAGAGTCATAAAACAGCTCGTCTAGTCTAAAATGTGATTAAACTCTCAGTTTTTCGAAAGCAGAACGTTATTTGTGTTATGTTTGTCGTATTAGCTAGGAATACAATTTTTTGCAATTCCCATACAAATGAGACTATGATGGATGTTAAAAGTGATAAAGTTGCTATAACAGATCAGACATATATTTAGAAAAAAAATGTGAATAATCAAATGGGGACTATAATTGTAGAACACAGATGTACACACATTGAAAAACTTGGAAACCTTTTTTGAGTCTAAAAATGTTTTCCGTTGCAATTTTTCTCGCTGAATTCAACTCTAGTCGAGAAGTTGCTCCACCACCTCAGTTATTTGAGATATTCAAACATTTTGACAAGTTTTGGATATTATGTCACACCTACAGAATTTTGTTTAACTCAATATTGTATACATTAACTTAACTCATACTGCTCATCTTCTTTAATGTTTATTTTATTGACTCAATACGACCTTTTTCTGTACACTATGTTATCTGCATAATATACTACTAAACATTCAGTACCTACCAGAAGAATTATATTATTACACAGAGGCAATTTGTGAAACGATGTGAAGAATTTTATTTTCTTCATCATTCTAAAACTTGTGATTCCGTTCTATGCAAAAAATAGTTAGACCAAATTTTCATTTGGCGTCTAACGATGTACATCTTCAAATATTAGAATTTGCTTTCCAGTTCATTTTGATAAATGAACAATTACATTTTGAATAATTATGAAAGGTTACTGTTTATTAAAATCACTATATTTCAACTTTTCCTTAATTTTAATTTAGAAAATAATACTATACGGGGTGTTAATGAACTTATGTAAAATATTTTGACAAATGTTTTTTTGCACTTAATGTCAACCAATGAAAATTTACTGAATTTTCTTAACTTTTTCTATAAAATGAATAACTGTGATTAATGACAAACTAAGAGCATTTTTTCTTTTTCAGATCATTCCAGTGAGCTATGTACAAATCTGATGTTGCAATCAATTACCAGTGACTGTAAATACTATTTTTAACAAAAATAAAAACAATATAACAAAACACCATTTGCTTAATTAATTCTAACATTTTCACATAAATATATGGATATGACTGTATTTAACAAATACCTTGACAATCACCTTGACAAATACGTGAAATATATGAGTCAAAAGACCTGATTTATTTATGGAATTCAGTAAAAGTGGTCAAACCATTAAAGGTTTTTGTTATTCTTGAAAACATGTTATAATAAAAATAATAATACTCCATTAGGATGCTTAATTTGGTTGACAAATTTACAAACAAATTTAGACATATATCTTCTTTTAATGCATCACTATTAAAAACAGTAAAAACCCTGAAATTAATTAATAAGCTAGTCACAAAATTTTTATACCGGCATATCTTTGATTTCTATTTTTGGTTAATATGCGTAATCCGTATCTACATAATATGCTTGATTGGCGTACATATAAAATAAACATTTATTTAACGAGTATAATCCATAAAAATTCATTAATCTTTGATTAAAAATAATCATAAAACTGTTTCTTTGTAAATGTAAGTAGTTTTTTATTCATTTATTGGGAAACGCCGGATATTTCAGAAATGTTTTTACAAAGTTCTCTTGTTGACTGTAAAAAAAACAGGTAAAATTTGAGAAAGAAAATTATATTTTCCTCCCTTAAAAAAGTAGGATAAATAAGGAATCATTAAATATTTCTTAGACGCTTACTTCATTAAAATATTCTAATAACAATATTTCATGACTATCAGAAGTATTTCTATGTTCTCAAATGCAACAAACAACAGTTTGTGTGTCAGGTCGTACAGTCGGTAGAAGCTTTGGAGTAGAATCAAATGAACAATGAGTAAAGTGGGCACTTTACTTGAGATTCTACGACTGAGGACGATGAAACCAACGAGTGGCCACCATTGAATCTCTTAGGAACAAATCAACTAAAAGCGTGTGCCACTAGCTACCCAGTTAGTTCAGAAGCAGTAACTATTTAATCATGCATTTTCATGCATTTGTGTTTCTTGTATCAAACCATTTAATGCAAAAGTGCATTTAAAAAAATATTTTGTATGTAATCTATAAACTTTTTATTACTATTTAAAAAATTTTCTGCATTTCTTGTAATAAGTGATGCCAATGACAACCAAACACAAATAACAAACAAATAAATAATGTGGACATACAAAAATTTGCTTAAAACTTTCTGGAAAACAATTAACGTTTTCTTTATTTATACCCTCAGGAGAATATTAATGTATACATTATATTATTTTGCTAACTTAAACTTTTTATGTCTTTAATAGTTTCCGATATTCCCACACTAAAATATGTGCTAATATTTAAATTAGGTTCAATCTCCCAATATACTGCGTGATGCAAATTAATAAAATGTTTGTGGTACATGAAAATAATACTCAAATATCTATACAGCAACAAATAAAATAAGAAAATAAATAAAGTGGCCACTTTTGTCATTTAGAAATAAGTATTATAAGTTTGTTTTCTCAAATTCCGCTGTGAAAACCTTTTTTTATTCATTTTTTTCACAATATCGCCCAGAAATTTAACAATGGTGATACACAAACCACCTGTTTTATCTTCAACATCCAAATCAGCTACAATTTCGAAATTGAAATGATTTGAAAATAATTCCATGATCTTTTTAATGTCTCTATACAAGGTGCAGTTTCCGTGAAATCTACCATAACCACATACAAACAACCGCAGCCTACTACGCAGATCGGATCCCCAAAAGCTATAATCCATACAAGACGATGCTAACAGCGTAGACGACGAAGAAAGAAACCGCCATGACTGCCGCTAAAGGTCATCTGCCGTATCAGACGAGGCTGACTACGCATGACTCTCATAGCTCAGAAGGCATCGCCCGCACAGAAAGACGAGGAAAGCTTCACCACTTTTTCGAATTTTGATAAAATTTAATAAGTCCAAAAAATTCTAAACTTGAACTACAAGGCCTTAAAGTCACTATTAATCAAAATAATTTACAGACTTACAATTCTTTTGAGACGACCAAAATCTAAAAGACGGACAGTCGTTTTTCTAAAGACCTAATTTTCCGATTTCGTCGCGGATATCGCTACAGGACTCCCTGCGGGGCCAGCGTAATGTGTGTTCGAACGTCAGCCTAGGGATCATGCAGTTGAATAACCATTGTCGAATCCTGGCGAGAACTAGTAATATTATAATTCAGTTCCATTGGCTTATATGTATATTTTTTGTTAATTAATTCGAAAATTCGAAAAAATCACACAATTTTCGTAAAATTCAAAAGTGCGTTAAATTTCTCAAAAAAAATTCAAGAGCTTTTAGCTCCTATTCCTGAAGACGCATTTACCACCCAGGTAGACTTTGCCCACCTTGCGGTAAAAATCGTAAGGGACACAAGCTCCTAAAGCTTCCATAAACAAGTCCTCTAAAGAGGCAACATAAATTGAAGCTATAAAGCTTCCATACAAAACACAAGCTTCCATAGTGGCACTCTAAGGAGGCCACACTAACATAAACTTTAGGGCCCTAGCCCATATAATTATTACGTTGGTGCTGACTCAAAAATTGTAAGATATGAAGCTACTGAGCGCGTGCCCCTACACTGAATATATCAGAAATGTAAGGACAAAAATAAGAACCCAAGTTTTCTGTCCCATTTGAATTATCATAAATCATAAAAGACCCCTGTAACTCTCAACGGAGAATAATTATATTACCTTCTTATTTATTTATACAGGGTGATTCACAAATGCTGACCAAAAATGATACCTCGTATTCATTGGTGAATTTTAAGAGTCTTTCCTATAAAGTTTTTATCTAGGACGCTTCGTTAAAAAGATACAGGGTGTTAAAATTCAACAAATATTTTTAATATTTTTAAATAATTTAAAAACTAGTAAGTGAAATAATTTAAAATTGGGCACATGTATGTGTGTTATGTAAATATTTATTCGAATAAACAAATTAATAACATTAGTCATCATTTTAATGATTTAATTTTAGTAAATGATCAAAAATACCTATATTTCCACGAAAACAGACGCGACATCTTTTTGGTAACGAAATTTATTGTTGCTAGAATCTTATGAAAAGCATTATTTATTCTTTATTCTAACTGCTCAGAATGTCAATGTTGCTATCGCAGCTTACTATGTAATTTTATTCGAATATCGAAATGTGTTTTCAGTTCGTCTTTTAAGTTTTATCGAAAATCAGGCTTTTTTCGAAAAACATACGAGTGTAGTAATTTGTAGAAAATTGAAAGATGTATCCGAAAATATCATGGCTGTTACCGTAAAGCAGTGGCGCACTATTTTATTTAGAAACTAGCAACCCGACCCGGCTTGGCACGGGCAAATATAAAATAGCCTATGTTACTCCGAGTAGTTGTAGCTTTCGGTAAAATTGGTTGAGTAGTTTTTGAGTTAAATCGTAACAAACAAAAAATCAATCATCTTTCATCTAATGCGACCCTAACATTAATTTTAAAATAATTCACGATATATCTATATACCTAAAGACAACAAACGAACTCAAAACTAAAAATGCAAAACCTTTAAATTTAAAACAATATAGG